CCCTCCCCCAATCCCCGGCATCGCCAGGTAAGCAGACCAGGTAGCCAGTGATGTGAGAGACAGCCGTCTGGGACCCCGGAGAGCCTTTTCACTCAGCCAGAGTAGACAAAACAGACCTTGACAGGCCAAAGTTCTGACTCAGCTTAAGACAAGCTCTTGTGCATTTCGGAGAGACGCCGAGGCTCACTGGCAGATGATCTACTCAGCGTACAGAGAGTCCCAGGTTCAATCTCTGGCATCTCCAGGTAAAAGGATCAGGCAGCAGGTGATGTGCATCGCCGTTCCTCGCTGCCAGTCATAGTTGGCAAAGCTGACCTTGATGGACCAAAGGTCTGACTCGGCAGAAGGCAAGTCCCTGTGTTCGCATTTCCTTTGCTTTGCTTCTCAAATGAAAAATTAAACACCCAGCTTTGCTAACTCCCTATCCAGGGTGGGTTTTTTTGGCATCTCTTATCCCTCTCTGCATGAAGAGTATGCATTGGAATTTCTAAAATTTATTCATATCCCACTTTGCTGCCCACCATTGGGACTCAGGGAGGCTTAGAACGTCATTCCCCCTTCCTGGGGGTAGTGGTTAAGAGCAGTAGACTCTTATGTGGAGAACTGGGTTTGATTCCCCACTCCTCCACATGCAGCCAGCTGGGTGACCTTGGGTCAGTCACCAGTTCTCTCAGAGCTGTTCTCTCAAGGGCAGTCCTCGAAAGAGCTTTCTCAGGCTCACCTACCTCACAAGGGTGTCTGTTGTGGGGAGGGGGAGGGGAGGAGATTGTAAGCCTCTCTGAGACTCTGAGTGAAGGGCGGGGTATAAATCTAACACCTCCTCCTCCTTCCGCTTCTCACAACAGCGACCCCATGAGGTAGGCCTGGCTGAGAGTTTGTGATGGGCCCAAGGTCACCCAGAGAGCTCCCATGGTAAAAGTGGGGATTTGGACCCTGGATACCCACTGTCTTTGTCTGCCACTCTATCTGCTACATCACACTGGCTCTCAATGATTCCCCACTCCTCTACATGCAGCTGCTGTCATGACCTTGGGTCAGTCACAAGTTCTCTCAGAGCTGTTCTCTCATGTGCAGTCCTCGAGAGAGCTCTCTCATCCCCACTTACCTCACAGGGTGTCTGTTGTGGGGAGGGGAAGAAGAAGAAGAAGAAGAAGAAGAAGAAGAAGAAGAAGAAGAAGAAGAAATTAGATGTATACCCCACCCTTCACTACCCAAGGGAGTCTCAGAGCGGCTTACAAATTCCTTTCCCAGTTTGAGAGTCAGTTTGGTGTGAGGAGAGCCAGTTTGGTGTGAGAGCCAGTTTGGTGCAGTGGTTAAGTGCGCGGACTCTAATCTGGGACAACCAGGTTTGATTCCCCACTCCTCCACTTGCACCTGCCTGGATGACCTTGGGCAAGCCGTAGTCCTGATAAGAGCTGTCCTTGAAAAAAAGAGCCGTTTCTGTCAGAGCTCTCTCAGCCCCATCTACCTCCCAGGGTGCCTGTTGTGGGGAGGGGAAGGGAAAGGAGATTGTAAGCCACTCTGAGACACCTTTGGGTAGTGAAGGGCGGGTTATAAACCCAATCTCCTCCTCCTCTTCTTCTTCTTCTTTCTTCTTCCTTCTTCTTCTTCTTCTTCCTTCTTCTTTCTACTTCTTCTTTCTTCTTGTTATTCCTTCTTCTTCTTTCTTCTTCCTTCTTCTTCTTTCTTCTTCTTCTCTGTTGCCTGGAGATCAGTTGTAATAAGCAGGGGATCTCCAGGGCCCACCTGGAAGTTGGCAGCCCTTGCTAGACTGATGATATTTCCCCATTAAAAGCCTGGCAGGATCTGCCCCACCCTTAGTCATCTGAATCCCTGAGCGATGACATTTGGTTTTGTTCCATAAAAGCTACTTTCCACATCCAATATACACTGAGCACGGCGTACGTGGATTTCCAAAGCAAAATATGTTCAGTTCTGATCATAATTACAGAGCTATAACAGGGCTGCAGTAAGGTAATTTTAGACTCCGGATGCAATGGCTTTATCCTCCCCCTCCCTTTAAATGATTGCAAAAAGCTTTTACAGGAGAAACACTTGTGGGGCTGTGCCTTTAAGGAAGGGGGCCGAGCCCCACCACGCCCCACCATAGCTACGGGCCTGCCCCCAAACCTCTCAAGAGTTAGAACCGTAGAATCACAGAATCCTAGAATCCTAGAGTTGGAAGGGGCCACACAGACCTTCTAGTCCAACCCCCTGCCCAATGCAGGACCACCCTGAAGCATCCCTGACAAATATCCGTCCAGCCTCTTCTTGAAAGCTGCCAGTGAAGGGGAGCTCACCACCTCCGGAGGCAGCTGATGCCACCTTTGAACCACTCTGGCTGCGAAAAAGTGTTTCCTGATACCCAGCCGATACCTTTCTGCATGTAACTTAAACCCGTTGCTTCGGGTCCTCTCCTCTGCTGCCAACTGAACAGCTCCTGGCCCTCCTCCCAGGGACAGCCTTTCAAATATTTAAAGAGAGCAATCATGTCCCTCCCTCAGTTTCCTCATCTCCAGACTAAACATTCCCGGGGCCCTTAGCCTTTCCTCATAGGGCTTGGTCTCCAGACCCCTGATCATCCTCGTCGCTCTCTTCTGCACCCTCTTGATTTTGCCCACATCCTTTCCAAAGTTTCCTGACTTGAAGCTGGCAATACTATACCTCCTAGGAAATCAACAGGATTTGGGGGAGGGGGTATAAGGGTTTGACAGTCAAAGCTCCCTGTATATCTGACAAAAGGGAACTTTGACATTTGGAACCTTGTTCTTTGAAAATCTTGCGGGTCTCTAATCGCTTCTGGATCCGAATCCAGCTGTTCCGCTGCAGGACAAAATGGCTACCCTTTGAAACTGTCTTCACGGGTGATGCTATTTAGCTTCAACTGCCCTTTTCCAGTTTGGTGTAGTGGTTAAGTGTGCGGAATCTAATCTGGGAGAACCGGGTTTGATTCCCCCACTCCTCCACTTGCAGCTGCTGGATGACCTTGGGCAAGCCGTAGTTTTGATAAGAGCTGTTCTTGAAAAAGAGCCGTTCCTGTCAAGAGCTCTCTCAGCCCCACCTACCTCACAGGGTGCCTTGTCGTGGGGAGGGGGAGGGAAAGGAGTTTGTAAGCCACTCTGAGACTCCTTTGGGTAGTGAAGGGCGGGGTATAAATCCAATCTCTTCTTCTTTTACCTCACAGGGTGTCTGTTGTGGGGAGGGGAAGGGAAAGGAGTTTATAAGCTGCTCTGAGACTCCTTTGGGTAGTGAAGGGCGGGGTATAAATCCAATCTCCTCTTCTTCTTCTTCTTCTTCTTCTTCTTCTTCTTCTTCTTCTTCTTCTTCTTCTTCTTCTTCTTCTTCTTCTTCTTCTTCTTCTACCTCTCAGGGTGTCTGCTGTGGGGAGGGGAAGGGAAAGGAGTTTATAAGCTGCTCTGAGACTCCTTTGGGTAGTGAAGGGCGGGGTATAAATCCAATCTCCTCTTCTTCTTTTTCCCCCACACCCTTATTAAAGGGACATTCTCCCCCCCCCCCCCCCCCTCCCCGCATCAAACCCCCCTTTTTTTTTTTCCCCCCCCCCCCTTTTAAAAGGGCATTCCCCCCCCCCCCCCCCAACTTCTGGTAACGTTAGTCTGAAACCATTTGGCCTCAGAACCATTTCTCGATTTCTAGTGATAACATATACCTAATTTTTCTTTGGAGAATTTTCATATTCTCAGAGGTAGGCCAGCCGGGCCTGTAGCTATGGAGGGGCTTTCAGGGGCTTTGCCCCCTTTCTTAAAGGCACAACCCATAGAAGAATTTCTCCTGTAAATGCTTTTTTCAGTCATTTAAAAACATTTTTGAAAGGTGTGCACTCCTTTAAGCAGAGTGATGTGCTGTAGCTGATTAATTCCCGCACTGAGCAAGGGGGTTGGAGTAGGTGACCACTAGGATACCTTCTACCTCTGTGTCAAGAAACTGGTCTCCTTTGAGAGAGTTTTCCTGCCTAAGTGTCAGCTTTCTGGACTCTAGAAGTCATCACCCCCACCTGCCGGCTTGTTAGCGGAGTTGTTGCTTTGGCTGGTAGAAGTGATTAACTTGCAGCAGCTGAGAACTGTCATCTAAAATGGTTGACAGCTTGCAATTTAGAGATCCATCCTGGTAATAGCTCCCTATTGGCAGAAAGAAAAGTCTTTCTGCATTGAGAACTTCAGCCCCGGCAGAAAAAAAAATTGCCCCACAAGCCACAAAATCCTGGCTACAGGTCTGGGGCCGGCCCACTCGCTAGATGGCACTAGGAAATTGCCTAGGGCTCCCGAGGGCAGGGGGACCGGGGGTATCAAAAATGGGCAGCCTGTAGTGACCTAGCCCCAGCACCACTGCCCGGGTTGCCAGGAGGGGCACCGGCTTGGGGTACACCCATCCCAGACAGCAGCTCCGGGCATCCCTGGCAGGGGCATATTAACCATGAAGCAGACGAAGCAGATGCTTAGGGCACCAGGGCCAAAGGGGGCGCCACAAAGTCGGGGAAAGGGTGAGAAGCTTAGTTTGTACAGTATATTGTGTTATCCTATGAATCAATGTTTGTCTTCTTGCAACCTGCATTGTATCTCTGGTCAGACAGGTCAACAACGAAAATGGACTGGGGGTCAGTGTGGAAAGGAGGGGGGCACCAAGCAATGTTCCCTCTAAGCTGTGGAGTCTTGTGTGCAAAAATCCTACTTTGTGAGCAACTGGCATTAAAGCTGTGAGCCAGCGATTTGGCTACTGCATAAATTAGTTTGATCTGGAGCCGTCCTTCCCGAGCGAAGACAAAAATCTGTGAGCTGGAGGCTAAAAAACTGTGAGCTGGCTCACACTTGCTCAGCTTAGAGGGAACAGTGGCACCAAGATTGGTCAGTGCTGAGGGCACCCGTGAGCCTTCATCCGCCCCTGACCCCTGGGAAAGTTGGCCTAGGCGACCCAAACCTTTGGACTGGCCCGGATGTACCAAGAACCCGCCGTGTCCACCCACCAACTTGCGAGCCCCTCCTTACCTGTCCACGCTGATGACGCAGAGCGTCATGATGGAGGCCGTGCAGCACATGACGTCCATGGCGATGAACACGTTGCAGAAGACCTCTCCGAAGAGCCACTCCCCTCCGACGAGGTCCGTGATGATCACGAAGGGCATGACCGCGAAGGCCACCGACAGGTCGGCGGCCGCCAAGGAGACCACCAGGTAGTTGGAGGGCTGGCGGAGCTTCTTGATGGTGCAGATGGAGATGATGACCAGGCTGTTGCCGGCGATGGTCAGCAAGGTGATGGCGGAGAGGACCGTCCCAATCACCACCTTCTCCGTCTCCCCGTACAACAAGATGTCCTCCCCGCAGTCCGTGGCGTTGGTGGCATTGGGAGGGGCCGAGTCTGGATCTGCCGGCGTGGGAGGTCCCTCAGTCATGAATGGGGCCGGGGTGGACTTGGGGGCGGGATCCCTGGGCTCCGCGTCCTCCACGACGAGAAGGTGCTGCTGCAGAAACCGAATGGGGCCGATCCTGACGAGCATGCTTCGAACGGGCCGCTGTGTGCAGAAGTGGCAGGAGCCTGTCGGATTTTTCAGGGCCAGCTGGAAGAAGAATAAGAATAAGAATCATAGTGTTAGGGGTTGGATCTTGCAGGTCATCTAGTCCAACCCCCTGCACTCTGCAGGAGCAGAGCCGAAAGAGGAAGAAGAATCATAGAATGTTAGAGTTGGAAGGGACCTTGCAGGTCATCTAGTCCAACCCCCTGCACTCTGCAGGAGCAGAGCCTGCAAGAGAGAATAGATCCGCTCCATCTTCTACATGACAGCCCTTGAGATACTTGAAGACTGCAATCATGTCCCCTCTAAGCCTTCTCTTTCCCGGGCTAAACAGACCCAACTCTTTCAGCCTTTCCTCGTAAGACTTGGATTCCAACCCTCTCACCATCCTGGTTGCCCTCTTCTGGACACGCTCGAGCTTGTCAACATCCTTCCTAAAATGCGGTGCCCAAAACTGGACACAGTACTGGAAGAAGAAGAAGAAGATGATGATGATGAAGAAGAAGAAGAAGAAGAGATTGGATTTATACCCCGCCCTTCACTTGGCGTCTCAGAGCGGCTTACAAACTCCTTTCCCTTCCCCTCTTCACAACAGACACCCTGTGAGGTAGGTGAGGCTGAGAGAGCTCTGACAGAAACGGCTCTTTTTCAAGGACAGGTCTTATCAGCACTATGGCTTGCCCAAGGTCATCCAGCAGCTGCAAGTGGAGGAGTGGGGAATCAAACCTGGTTCTCCCAGATTAGAGTTTGCACAATTAACCACTACAAAAACCCGGCCGTGAGATGCAGCCCAGGAGACACGAGTATTTCATGCGGATACAAATTCCTGGGCCTCTATCCACCACGACCACCCAGCTTCTTCCTCTCCCACATTCACACCACTCGTGTGAACGACCCATCACTGGGTGTGGAGGGGGAGGTATTTGTGAATTTCCTGTGTTGTGCCGGGGGTTGGACTAGATGACCCCATAGGTCCCTTCCAACTCTATGATTCTATGCAGGGCTTTTTTATTTCTGGAGGAATGCACTGGAATGGAGTTCTGGAAGCTCTTTGACAACATTCTTTTAGAAACGTTTATCAGTTTGTGAGTTTTCAGCATACTGATGGAAAACTTAGTTTCCCTCTTAAAAGTTCCAGCACCTCCCCCCTCAAAAAAAGCCCTGATCCTATGATTTTACTCCCTTTTCTGCAGCATCTCTTTCCCCCACCCCATCTCTCGCTGGGCTTTGCAAGAGTTCTGGAAGCTCCTGAGCTGACGGAATCTTCATAAACATTCCATAACAGTTCTGCAGCTAAGGCTGGGGGGGGGGCTCCTTCAGATAAAGGCAGGGGCTTTGTGGCTCAGTGGCAAAGCCTCTGCTTGGCATGGAGAAGGTCCCAGGTTCAACCCCTGCCATCTCCAGTAAAAAAAGAATCAGGTAGTAAGTGATGTGAAAGAACTCAGCCTGAGACCTTGGAAAGCAGCTGCCAGTCTAAGAAGACCATACTCACTGTGATAGGCAGATAGGCTGATGCAGTACAGGGCAACTCCCTGTGTGTTCAAGCAAAGGCTGAAAGCCAATATAGAGCTTTTCAAGAGGGCTTCTGTTTTTTTCGAGGGGGAAGGGCAAACTGGGCCAAGGCATTATTCTCTTGCGCAGGGGTCATTTCCTGCAGGAGCGCGCAGGAGCGGAGCTCCGGCAGTAAAGAGCCCAGGGGGCGGGCACATGCAACAAGCCCCACCCCCTGCTCCCAGCAGCCCTCAGTCAGAGCAAGAAGCAGCCAGGTAAGTTGCAGAGCTCCCCCCAGCTCCCCGGTCCAAAACAGTCCAGTGGCACCTTTAAGACCAAGTTTTATTCAGGTACAAGCTCTCCCTCCTCTGCGAGGACAGATCTGCACATTCCCCCCCCCCAATAGCTAGCAATCAAAAAGAGTCCAGTGGAGCCTGAGCGGTGGGTGTTGCCTTCTGACACACTTCCGGTGAGGTCAGGGGGTGTGGCCTATGCAAATGAGCTATGCTAATGAGCTATGCTAATGAGCTCCTGCACCTCTTTTTCTACGAAATGACCCCTGCTCTTGCGCGTCTAAAAGACCTGCACTTAATTTGGGTATTAAATTCATGTCCCCACAGCCATAGTGTGGGCTGCACAATATCATTGGAAGGTTTGATTCTACAAAGCCCAGGTTTAATACCCATCTCCAGTTAAAGGACATAAGAACATCAGAAGAGCCCTGCTGGATCGGAGCAGTGGTCCATCCAGTCCAGCATTCTATCTCACACAGGGGCCAACCAGTTCCTCTGGAGGGTCAATAACAGGGCATAGAGGGTGAGGTCTTCATAAGAACATCAGAAGAGCCCTGCTGGATCAGACCAGTGAGGGTCCATCCAGTCCAGCATCCTGTCTCACACAATGGCCAACCAGTTCCTCTGGAGGGCCAACAACAGGGCATGGGGCTAAGACCTTCATAAGCATATAAGATGAGCCCTGCTGGATCATACCAGTGGTCCATTTAGTCCAGCATCCTGTCTCACACAGTGGCCACCCAGTTTCTCTGGAGGGCCAACAACAGGGCAGGGAGACCGAGGCCTTCCCCTGAGAAGAACCTCAGAAGAGCCCTGCTGGATCAGACCAGGGAGGGTCCATCTAGTCCAGCCTCCTGTCTCACACAGGGGCCAACCAGTTCCCCTGGTGGGCCAACAACAGGGCAGAGAGGCCGAGGCCTTCCCCTGAGAAGAACTTCAGAAGAGCGCTGCTGGGTCAGACCAGGGAGGGTCCATCTAGTCCAGCCTCCTGTCTCACACAGTGGCCACCTAGTTTCTCTGGAGGGCCAACAACAGGGCAGAGAGGCCGAGGCCTTCCCCTGAGAAGAACCTCAGAAGATTTCTCCATGCCTACTACCTCTCTGCATATCACACTTGATCCAATCCCGCCCCCTATTGCCATTTGCCTGCTTACCTCACTCCAGATCCCAAGTTCTCTACTCAATATTGACAGAATGAGACTCACAGAACGTCTTCTCCAAACTGGGATTTCCTGCTCTGGGGCAATCTGATGAGATTTATCGCTTGCATCCCCTTTTATTTATTTACTTGATTTCCATCCCACCTTTCCCCCAAACGGGGACCCAATGCGGCTTACATCTTTCTGCCCTTCGTTTAATCCTTACAATGACATTGTGAGGTAGGCTAGGCCGGGAGCATGTGACTGGCCCAAGGTCACCCAGCGAGCTTCCACAGCAGAGTGGGGATTCGAACCCGGGTCTCCCAGATCCCAGACCCTCTCTAACCACTACACCACGCCGGCCCTTCCTGCACTGTTCCACAACCTGCATAAGAACATCAGAAGAGCCCTGCTGGATCAGACCAGTGAGGGTCCATCCAGTCCAGCATCCCGTCTCACACAGTGGCCAGCCAGTTCCTCTGGAGGGCCAACAACAGGGCATGGGGCTAAGACCTTCATAAGCATATAAGAAGAGCCCTGCTGAAGCAGACCAGGGAGGGTCCATTTAGTCCAGCATCCTGTCTCACACAGGGGCCAACCAGTTCCCCTGGTGGGCCAACAACAGGGCAGAGAGGCCGAGGCCTTCCCCTGAGAAAAACATCAGAAGAGCCCTGCTGGATCAGACCAATGGTCCATCTTGTCCAGATGTCTCACACAGTGGCCAACCAGTTCCTCTGGAGGTCCAACAACAGGGCATGGGGCTAAGGCCTTCATAAGCACATAAGACGAGCCCTGCTGGATCAGACCAGTGGTCCATGTAGCCCAGCATCCTGTCTCACACAGTTCCTCTGGAGGGCCAACCACAGGGCAGAGAGGCTGAGGCCTTCCCCTGATGATGCTTCCTGGCTCTGGGGTTCAGAGGATTAGTGCCTCTGAATGTGGAGTAGAAAAGAGTAAGAGTCCAGTAATACCTTAAAGGCTAACAAAATCCATGGCAGGGTAGGAGCTTTTGTGAGTCAATACTCACTTCTTCAGATACAGCTGGAATGCGAGTCCATCTGTCCTATATATTGGAAAGTGGCGTGATTTCAGATGGCAAACGACATTAGCAGGCAAATGACAATAGACGGCGAGTGACAATAGCAGGCGTGATTGGATCAGGTGTGATATGCGGAGAGGTAGTAGGTGTGCAGGAATCAGCATAGGTAACAAGACAGGAAACCTAAGTCTTGATTCAGTCCAGGAGGATGCATTGTCTTGAGCTTCATTATCAGTTGCAATTCCTGTTCATTGCCAATGCTGATTTCTCCATGCCTACTACCTCTCTGCATATCACACCTGATCCAATCCCGTCCCCTATTGCCATTTGCCTGCTAACCTCACTCCAGATCCCAAGTTCTCTACCCAATACTGACAGAATGAGACTCACAGAACGTCTTCTCCAAACTGGGATTTCCTGCTTCGGGGCAATCTGATGAGATTTATCGCTTGCATCCCCTTTTATTTATTGACTTGATTTCCATCCCACCTTTCCCCCTAACGGGGACCCAATGCGGTTTACATCTTTCTGCCCTTCGTTTAATCCTCATAATGACATTGTGAGGTAGGCTAGGCCGGGAGCATGTGACGGGCCCAAGGTCACCCAGCGAGCTTCCACAGCAGAGTGGGGATTCGAACCCGGGTCTCCCAGATCCTAGACCCTCTCTAACCACTACACCACGCCGGCCCTTCCTGCACTGTTCCACAACCTGCCTCTGCCGACTCGCTTCCATGGACAGTTCATGGTCCACAGGAACAGCTCAAAACTACCCCCAGGGTCCAGAGGACATGAGGGATCCAATTATCCACGGCAAGTTAAAAAAATACCAAAGAGCGATCAGGTCAGGATGGGAGAGAATTGGACTGAAGCTTTCCCACACAGGGGAAGTAACTGCAGTTTAAATTGGGAAAGTGATGTTGAAGGAAGGATGACTTCTCCCACACAATAGTCTCAGTCGGATTCCCATTCTCCCATAACTGCTATTAATGCTTTTTAAAACAAATGGAAGAAGGAGGAGGAGGAG